AACCCACGGCCCCAGGTGGCCCCGGGGACTGACCCTCTGTCCTGGGTGACTTGTACGCCTCTGACTCATCTAACCTCTGTAACGACCACAGAATAAAAGTTGGTTTTGAGCTTTTTATACCCCGTGTTGTTGGCTCCCTTCATTCGCGTCTGAGGGCACAGGTGGCCGGCACAAGCCCCACGGGGATGAGCCCCACGTGGGTGAGCCGGTCCCCGCTGCACTTCTCCCGAGATCCCGCAGACGGAGCCCAGGGTGTGGCGCTGCCATTCGCACTCAGGGAGCCGTGCGTGTTCCCACGCCCCAGCCGCCACTCGTGGGAGCCGTGCAGAGACACACTCGCGATGCCACTCAGGTGCTTCTCACCTAAGGCCCCAGATCAGATCTCCGAATGGCCAAGAAAGCTGCAGGCACACTCTGGCTTCAGTCTCTCTGGAACCGGCTGGTCTTTGGGAGCCCAGCTCAGAACTTATTTTTACCCTTTAAAATTCAGTCTCGTATTAAACGTTTCTTTTTTTTTTTTTTTTTTAAAGATTTTATTTACTTATTTGTCAGGGACAGAGGGAGAGAGAGCGAGCGAGCACAGGCAGACAGAGAGGCAGGCAGAGGCAGAGGGAGAAGCAGGTTCCCTGCCAAGCAAGGAGCCCGATGTGGGACGCGATCCCAGGACACTGGGATCATGACCTGAGCCGAAGGCAGCCGCTTAACCAACTGAGCCACCCAGGCGTCCCGTATTAAACGTTTCTAATGAAAATTTCCACATCATAAGGTAAGCATTCCGCCTGATGTCGTTTGAAATATAGCAGCAACCACCTTGACTTGCCTTCCCCCAGAAGCTGACCAGGACAAGGACTCTCCACAAAGGGCTCCACATAGGGACATGAGCCCCCATTAGGGAGTGGAGGGGGCCCGGCAGAGTGAACCCAGGAAGGAGGACACCTTACTAAGGGGGTAGCCACCATGGGCAATTTAGTGCTCCCTCCTATGGGCACCCACGGAGGAAGACCACAGAAGGAGCCTCACCTTGTGCAGCCTAGGCACTGAAAAGGGACGTTTCCCTCTGCCAGCTCTTGCTCCTCATGGTCAGGGGCTGCCTGCGACTGTCCAGTCCCTTGTGCTCCCAGGTGTGCGGGCTGAGCGGGATCCTGGGTGGAGGGGTGCTCCCAGGTGAGCGGCATCCCAGGATCCCAGGTGAGGGTGTAACACCCAGGTGCACGGGCTGAGCGGGATCCCAGGTGGGGGTAGTGGAAAAGCAGCAAAGCTAATAAGATGCCACGGGCACCACCTTACGCTGATGGTTTCCATAGCAACAGCCCTAGCACCCCATGGGAGGTGAGGCTTGAAGCCAGGATTTGAGAAATGCCCAGCACAGGGGTTCCCGCAAAACTCATGGAGGCAGCTATTCCGGACTCTGGTCCCCAAGATCAAGGGGCAGCCTCGAAGTGTGTCCCAGTCCTGAGGGCAGCTTGGCTTGGGTGTGATGCCATGAAGGATGGGGCGCTGGGGACCCACACTCTCCCTAGTGGATCACAGCCCCTGATGGCCTCCCCATCTACAGACTGACCCCTGTGGGACCGGCAGGGGGAGGGAGATCTTGCAGAACACAGGCCGATTCCCGGGAGCCTTGCCTTCCTTCCAGAGCTCAAGTTCAAGAGCAAAGGGCAGCCGCAGTCGGCCAGCGCTAGAGGTGTGGGTCACGTGACGACATAAACGGGCCTCACTGCAGCTGTTTCCAGAGCCCATCTGAGCACTGGGGTCGGAGTCCAGCCGCTCCGTGGTGGGAGTGGGGACCCAACTCTTCCCCGGGCTGACTTACCCCTAATTCTATGCTCTGGAGAAGGGAGGGTTACTAGAAAGGGGATTCTTGCATCCGGGTTATGGGAACTCTGGGGGGGTCTCCGTCCCTGCCCCAGCACAGGAACCCCACCCCCACCACCTACAGAGGCGTGAACGTGCGAGGTCGCCAGAGGGCTAGGCCAAGGGCGGAGGGTGGAAAGTGCATCTGGAGACGCACACACGCTGTGTCTGGGGGATGACGGGTCCCCCTCCCCAGGCCAACCCACCCGGCTCACCCTGCCCTGACAATCAGCCCCAGGCTCTGCTTCCAGGCTTCCAGGCCTTCCCAGTACAAACAACCCGATGCGGGGACCCATGGGGCCCGCCTCTGGTCTTGGACAGCAGGTGCACAACCGACCCAACCTTGAGAGGAAGGACACAGCAGCACACGGAAGGCATGTGGGGAAAGCGGGTACTGGCAGTGGGGCTGGCTGGACACCTGGGTGAGGGTGTTCCTTGCACACAGGCAGCTCTGTCAAAACTGAGTTCAGAAACGACAAAGTTGGGGGCCAGGGGGGTCAGTGGGTTAAGCCACTGCCTTCGGCTCGGGTCATGATCTCAGGGTCCTGGGATCGAGCCCCCCATCGGGCTCCCTGCTCAGCGGAGACCCTGCTTCCCTTCTCCCTCGGCCTGCCACTCTGCCTACTTATGATCTCTCTCTGCGTCAAATAAATAAAAAAACCTTTAAAAAGAAATGACAAAGTTGTACTTCTAAAAGGTCAGCCTCACAGCCTGTGCTGAGGGGGAAACAGGGCTCCCAGCTCCCAGATTACAACATTCCCAGCCGGAACCATCCAGCCTGCTGCTGTCCCGCACCCCACCTCAGGCGCCCAGAAACATCCAAGGAAGAGACGTTGTGGAGGAGGCGGCGTCCATCACTCGAGGACAGTGGAGCCCGGGGAGAGAATGCGCAGTGGCGGCTCTGAGACCAGGGACAGCAGCCTAACCAGCTGTCCGTGGCCTCCCCATTCCCAGCAGAGAAAAAGAAGGAATATTCGAGGTCACCAGCTCAAACCCACATCCAGCCGAGAAATTCCCTATGTCTCTCCACCGGCTGGCTCACTGACCCAAGTGACCTGAAGCTTCCCCAGTGCTGACCGGGTTCCCTGTGTGGGGACCGGGCCCTCGCGGTCAGAGCTGAGAACCCACGAGCAGGCTGGGACCCACAGACCGGGCCGGCATCCGAAATCCACCTGAGACAGAGCCCACGTGACGCTTATTTTTAGGACAACAATCAAGGGTGAAACACTTCCGTGTGGTTGATGGAGAGAACGTGCCATCCCTGGGCAACCCCCAGAACACGTGGCCAATCAGGGACACAAGCTGGGGGTGCTCAGGGCAGATGGGCAAGAGAAGCAGAGAACATTCGGGGAAAAGGGCCACGGGAACCCAGCCAGCCCTGCCTTCCAGCAGGGACCACAGAAGCCTTTCCCAGGACACTGTCTCCTGCACAGGCCACAGAGACAAATCCCAGGGCCTCTCTGGCTTGTGCAGGTTTCGAGGGCAGGTCACTAGCAAAGGGATAATTAAACCAGCCTGACGACTCACAGATTCATTTTCACTCTCTCATGGGCTCTGCTGTGGGACTGAAGTCTGAGGCCTCTGGATGGGCTCGAAGAACCCAGTGTCGGAGCCGGGGAGCCTCGGGCAGGGACAGGAGGCTGCGCTCACGCTCACGCCTGGAGAAGGCGCACTGCAGGGGGGCAGAGGAGGCCGTATTGGCAGGATCCCCCAGCAGACCGCGGCCCTCAGCCCAGTCAACCGCATGCTTCCCCCAGAGTAACGACTCACGAAACATACTGCTTTCTTACTAGCCTCTGCCACACCTCTGTTATGGACCACCGAATCCTTGTCTCCTCCAAAATCTGTCTTTGGAAGCCCGGACCCCCAGTGGGACAGTATTTGGAGGTGGGGCCTTTGGGAGGTCAGGGGGTGGGGTCCTCACGATGGGACTAGTGCCCTTGCAAGGAAAGAGAGGCCAGAGCTCGCTCTGCCCACTCGTGGACATAGTGAGAAGGTGGCGTCTGCAGGGGGACGGGGCCCGACCAGATCTGACAGCCCCCGGACCTCCACTTCCAGCCTCCAGGGCTGCAGGAGAGAGATGCGCCCGGCCTGCGTGTTGTTCCAGCAGCCCACGTCGGCTGAGACGCCCCTTAAATTTCTCAGAAACAAACCCTGCTGCCTCATACCCTCCCTGTCTTAGAACCTCCTGACGACAAAGCCACCCACCCACCAAGCACGGGACAGGGGGCTTCGGGCCAGGAACCGCCCGTGTGACCCACGAAGCACACCTGAGCAGAGACAGACCTTCTAGATTTCTGTTCCTGGAGCTCATGTCTCGAGACAACGACAAACGGACGGATCTAAATATTCTGCAATGTCTAGGGTCCACTGCAGGTTTAAAGACAGAAGCGCTCGGCTCACAGCCACCTCCCAGCGCCCCCAGCAAGGGCCCAGCAGGGGTGAAAATAAGGTCTCAATCAACAGTCTGCACACCGAGGTCTCCTCGTAATCCTTTTTAATAATAATCATAGCTCACACGGCTACAACCAGTATGAAAGCAATAATCCCGGACTTTGTATAAATTAACAAGCCAAGAATCAAGGTGACACTACCAAACAGAAGGGCCAAATGGTAGGACCAAGGGGAGACCGCCACCAAGACAATGTCTGCGAAAACATGGAAGTGGGACAGGTGCCACAGCCAGGTGCCACGGCCAGGTGCCCACGCACACCAGGTGCCACGGCCGGGTGCTCACACACACCAAGTACCATGGCCAGGTGCCACGGCCAGGTGCCCACACACACCAGGTGCCACAGCCAGGTGCTCACACACACCAAGTACCACGGCCAGGTGCCACGGCCAGGTGCTCATACACGCCAGGTGCCGCAGAAGCTGGGCCACAGGCTTCAGCAAGGCCGGGATGTAGGAAAGGACCAGCACTGCGCAACGGTCCTCAGGAGTCCTGGCTCAGAGGAGTGTTTTCTGCAGGCAATTCCCGTGTCCCTCGCTTCCCACACAGCGATGCAGATGGAGGAGCCGTCCCCGCAGACCACAGAACACCCTGCTGTTGTTGTGCCCAGACGTCCTCCTCCGTGTGCCACCTGCTTCGCATCTCCGTGTGCCTTCTGACCGAAGCACACTGGGCCAGCCCCGGCCCACCGCAGACACCTGGGCTTGGGGCCCCGCTGAGTCAGGCACAGCACCCAGACCTGGTCCGTCTGGGCGTCTTGTGGCTGCTGATGTCCACGGTCTGCGGCGGCCCCTGGGCTCTCTGCCGCACGATCATGGGCACCACCATGTCGAACAAGGTCTCGAACAGCAGGTCTACGTTGTAGCCAGTCTTCGCGCTGGTCTCGAAGCACATCTGCTCTGCAGCCGGCACGGCCTTCTCGTCCAGCATCTTGTACTTGAGGATCTTTCTGTAAAGGGCCACCGCGTCCTCCGGCTGCACCAGCTTGGGCACTTTAGGTGATCCGCCGCTGCCGGCAGTCCCGGGGCCGGGCCCGTCCTCCTCCCGGCCCTCTGTGGCCCCCTCCTCGACGAGGTCCACCTTGTTGCCCACGATGGCAAAGAGGCAGTCTGTGCTGGCTGTGTCCGTGAGGCCCAGGAACCTGTCCTCCAGCTCCAGCAGGCTCTGTGGGTGGCTCACGTCGTAGGTGAGGATGATGGCGGCCGCGCCCCGGCAGTACAGGGAGCCCAGGCCATGGAACTGTTCCCGCCCTGGCCGGGAAGACGGAGAGAGAGAGAGAGAGAGACCCCAGTTATCTCTCGTGCAAGGACGTGCCCCACCAAACACACCCCACGGCAGCCCCAGCGGGACACTGGAAGTGGACCCAAATGCAGGTGTGGTCAGAGCCAGGCCAGTGGAGACACTGTCTTGCACAAAGGAGTGAGCAGCCCGGGCCCTAGGGGATCCAAGGATGGCGCCCTTCTGCCCCAGGAGGCGGCACAGCAGCCTGGTTTCCAGGCAAACCTTTGAAATTTCACTCCACGCACGTAATTCAGAGAAAGGGTCACGGGCTCACACCACCTGGGTCAAAAGGGATCCCTGACAAAAAAGAAATAAAGAACCTTTGGTCTGTGAGTCTTAGGAGCCTGGACAGAAGACATGTTACCCACACACGTGTATTTATTTAAAATGTGTGTCCTTTGCCAATAAACCACCATTTTCAGCCAACTGACCAGAGAAACACAAACAATTTCTACCCCAACCCCCATTCTGATCCGGCCCTAACATAGGTCAAGCTAGCCCACCTCCCTTCTGGGCCGGCTGGCTGCCCGCCGTGTCCAGCCCCGGGGAGAGCAGCGTGCCGAGAAGGCCGGCCTGGGCCCGCACCAGACCGCTGACGTCCCCCCCGCAGAGAGCCACGCGCGAAGCCACGGCTCCCGCCTGTCCAGCAAAGGCCCCAGGTGTCTCCCCAACGTGATCCAGAGGGGAAGAGGCACGGAGAAGGTGCCTCCAGGGCTGGCAGGGGCTGGAGGCAGCTGTCTCCCGAGCTGCTGACAGTGGACATGACGGGTCAGAAAGCTCCCGAGGGCCACCTGCCAACGGCGGTGTGCACCCCAGAGCCGCACGCTGCCCTCTGCAGCGACAGCCAGCAGTCCTGGGACGGATCATTTCTTTAAAGTTCACAGCAAATGACACTGCCTGGAAGCAGGCAGAACGTCAGCGGCGCAGCCGCCGCCCCGGCGCTTCCTGGACCCACCCCAAGAGGCCATGCTCGAGGAGTCTTTAGAAACAAACGGGAACACTGGCCGAGGCGGGCATCAGCTGAGAAGAAAAGCATGACAGGCTTCCCCACCATCGCTCTGAGCTAGGACTCCTCCGTCAGACACCAATCCCATCTCCAGCAGCGAGGAGGTTTTCCAACAGGAAAAATGCTCCCAGCCCCCACCCTGGCCCTCCCGGGGCAGCGGCCTTCCAGCCGTCCCGGGGGGCGGGTGTCTCCGAGTCTGCCAGGCGGTTCGCTGGGGACCACTGGAGACAACTAAGCCTGGGCCTAGAATACTCTTCTTTTCCGGATAAAAATGTCTGCTTTGCCTTTTAAAAACAAGAAAAAGTACACAATAGTGATACGAGAAAAAGTCATAGTAACTAAGGGCGCGGGAATGGAAGATCCCACCTGCCAGGCCGAGAGGAGCCCGGAGCCCGTCCGAGCAGCCGCTGCGGTCCCACAACCCAAGGGCCAGGCGTCCCGGCGACTGAAGGGCCTACGGGAAGCCGCCTGCGCGCCGGATGCGCGGAAATTCTGTTTCAGAGACTGCGGCATTCGGCTGCTTTCCGACGCGTGCAGTGCCCATCACAGCACAGACACAGCGAACAGAACCGGGAACTGAACCCAAACTGAATTCAAGTGGGACGCCCTGGGATGCGCGGCATGGAGACCACAGCGAACACGGAGTGGGGTCGGGGAGACTCGGCCTCTGACAGCCGGCTGCGCCCAGCTCACAGTGTTTGAACTCAAGCCTAGTGAGTTTTTTGGTGGTTTGCGGGCCTAGCGGAGTGAGGCCCTGCTGCTGCGCCCTGAGAAGTTCCGCTCCGGGTCTACACGGGCGGTGCGCACCAGCTCTCCCACGGCAGCCGGGCCTGGTCTCCCTCTCCCCCCACACCGTGTTCCCCGGCCTGAGGCCCCACACGCCAACTCCAAAGCCAAAGCCCCAGGGATTCCCATGTTTCGCCTCCTGGGCTTCCTGAGGAACTCGACAGCCTCATGGTCAGATTCCGGGGGCGCCAGGCTGCCCCACGAGCCCTGAGAGGGTCAGGAGAAAACCGGGAGCTGCTCCGAGTTGACCAGTGCGGCTGCGGGTCTTCGGACCCTGGACCGGGTGAGCGGGCCAGGCTGCCGGGGCGGGCAGGAGTCCAGGAGAGCGACCCAGCCTCCTCCACCTCTAGGAAGCCGCCTGGGCTCCCCCTGCGGTGGGTGGTCCACAGGGCTGCAGGTCGGGGACCTGTGCGACTGTCCTGGACCCCTGGCTCATCTCAAAGCAAATCAAGACGAGACCCGTTTCACTAAGGTCCCTCCATGTACTCACATCCACAGGAGGGCCTTCTTTTTGAGGCCGAATAATCTTCCATTGTGTGCCTGGGACACACTTGCTTTGCCCATTCATCTGTCCAAGGACACTGGGGGAGCTCAGTGCAGCAGGGACACACATACTGCGAGATGCCATCTACCCTGAGGCATGGAAGACAGCCACATCTGGAGATGCAGAGACTGGCCTGGTGCTCGCCAGGGCCTGGGGGCAGGGGAGAGGGAGAGACGGAGAGCAGGAGGGGAAGGAAAGCTTGGGCCAGTGACCAGGAGAAGCTGGGGCAGCATCAGAGCGGTGGACATGCCCACGCGGCCTTCCCAGCAACCGCACAAAGGGGGCCTTCCCCTCCGCACATCTCAGAGGGCGAAGCCGAGACCGGAGCCCAGAGCCAGGACCCTGGCCCACCTACGAGGCAGTCTGTACTCTCACCACCCGTGGGAGAGCCAGACTCTGGGCACAGACCATCTGCTTTCAAGTCCCCACAGTGTGACCTTGGGCAAAGAACTCTTAGCCCCCCGTTCCAGTGTCCAGTGACCAGTCCCCCCCGAGGGAGGCTGTGAAAGTGGGGGACGCGGGGAAGCTCCCAGCAGTGTGCGTGCTCTACGCCGGACCCCTCCCAGACCTGAGCACAGACACCTTCCCAGGACCCCATGTCCCGGGCTCATCATCAGGCACTCACACACGGGCTCCGGTGGACATGTCCACCGCAACACCGCCGGTCTTATTTTACGAGCCTGCCTTCCAGAAGATGGCCTTCTCCCCAGCTCCGGGTGTGATACTGGATCTGTGGGGCTAGACCTGTGTGGCTGAAAACAGCCTGGCAGCAGGCACAGTGGGGGAAGGGGGACAGGGACACGAGCCGGCCGCCCACGGGGACCCCAGGCAGCTACTAGACAAGGGAAACTGCTCAATTGGCTTCTCTTCCATCCTCAGCCGTCCTCGGCCCAAGGACCACCAGCCCTCAACCCCGAGCACAGTATCACTTCTGCTTAAATGGTCTGAAATAACACACGGGTGCGGGGCCATCGGAAATCACAATGCTGGCTGCACGGTTTAAACACGGGCATGTTCTGTTTCATTATTTCTGAAATGAGAGTGACGCGGGGACCCCCGGGCCAGAGCACATGGACCAGGATGTGATGGGGGCGTGGGTGCCCGTGTGAATTGAGAAGCTCCCTGGGGAAGGTGAGGGGCAGCCAGAGGGGACCCCCACCAGCTTGTCTGGAGCAAGTGGGAGACAAGCCGCCAGTTGTCGACGGGAGAAGCAGGAGGCTGCTGATTTCAATGGGTCAGAGAGTAAGGTCTACCAGGAAACATAGTCGCAAACAGGAAAAAAAAAGGGACTTTTTTTTTAGGCGGGGGAGCACAGAGGGGCAGAGGAAGAGAGACTCTCCCGCAGACTCTCGGCCCAGCATGGAGCCTGATGAGATCCTCGATCCCGAGACTCCGAGAACATGAGCTGCGCCGAAATCAGGAGTCGGATGCTCCCCCCGACTGAGTCCCCGAGGTGCCGGGAAGGAGGAACTCGTAAAACACCTGCAGGGTCTGGGACACCCTCCAGGCAGGAGTTCACAGAAATACCAGTGTGGCCACCTGAGAAAGACAAAGAACTCGGGTCACAGCACCAGAGGTGGGAACGCGGAGAAACAGGAGGGTGTGCAAACAGCCCAGAGGAGCCCCGTCTAGGCGCAGCTATGCCGTCCCTCCCTTTGAGATCCCGTAAAAACAGAATCCTTCTTCCATGCCCTCAAGTCCCACTGTGGGATTATACACGCGACGTGAGATTACTGCAGCTCAAACATCCCGGGTGTGTTCTGACTCGAGTCCACTGCCACGGGCGGAATCTGGAACGTTGCCCCCCTGGCTGTGCTTTGGAAGCTTTGGAAGAGACGATGAGCATGGCTGGAGAAAGTCCTGGGGAAAGAGCCACCCCCAGCAAGGTTCACAAACGTCTTAAGCCCCTTTGGGCATTAAGAGAAAAGCCGCACCTGTGCTCCCAGGGTGATGAAAGGCCTGGCCGTCCGGGGCCAGCATGGGGCGCAGCCGCCTCTCCCAGTGTGCGCACACAGCAGAGGCAAGGACGCTTCCTTCAAGGATCCACCATCCACCAGGGGTCCCAGGCACACGCGGGGAGCCCCCCACCACCACACACCTGTGTGTCAGCTAACCACAGGGCGGCAGTGCCCGTCTGGACTCCAGCGTTAGAGCAGATGACCATGAAGGTTACTGAGACCTGCAGTCAGCTGACTCTGAGTAAGTCGATGGCCTTCCACGATGTGGGTGGGCCTTGTCCAATCAGTTGAAGGCCTTCAGAGCCTGGGTTTTCCTGGAAAGGATTTCTGCCTCAACACCACAGCCTGGGTTATAGAGCCTCTCAGCCAACTGCCTCACAGATCTGGACCTCAAGACTGCCACACTAGCTCTTCCCCGGACTCTGGCCTGCCAGGCTGCCCCACAGATTTCAGACTTGGGAGTCCCACCCTCGCCCAAGCTGACGCCTCCGGCTCCCTCCCTCTCTCCCTTCCTCCTTCCTTCTTTATTTACTTTGTATTTATTTATAAATTCATGAACTTATATATATTATATTTATATACAAATTTAATATTTACATAATATATATTTAATACATAAATTATGTATAATACATATTACATGTAAATACAAATATGTTTTATGTTATATGTTAT